CCGTTTCAGAATCAAGCTGTATTATAATATTAGAATGCCTTTATTATGCCACTATATAACAGGTGAAGTAATAGAGAGTTGTTTTGATTCTGATTGATAACAACGTGTGTGTTGTGAATGCACAGGTCCTGAATGAGGCTTCAGAGGAGGATAATCTAATAGATTTGGGCCCTGCTTCTCCAGCAGTGGTCACTCCTCGGGTCAGCACTACACCCACATCCACCCTGCAGCCTCCTCCTGCTGCTGCTGCTCCTGCTCCTGCTGCATCTCTCTCCACACAGCTGGCAGGACTTGGTGAGGGTCTCACGAGCACATCTTAATTAGGATGACAATATAGACTAAATACAGCCAATAAACCTTAAAAATCAGTTCATTTAAAACCATATACATCGAAGTATTTAACATGATTTTTTTTATGACTTTGTCATGATTTACTCCCGGTAGAAGTGGGTGCAGATAGCGTCATCAGGACTCTCAGCTCTCTGACTGCTCACAACCCTCAGGACGACTTTGACATGTTCGCCCACACCAGGTCCAGCTCTCTGGCTGACCAGCGCAAAAAGTGAGTGCCATTTCCACACCACTATAGTTAAACCACATAAAAAAACAACAACTCTAAACTATTTTCTCTGCTTATTTCCAGCGTTAAATACGAGGAACCTCAGGCTCTGGTGGGCCTGGCGTCTGCTTTAGACATCAGACAGCAAAATGCCACTGGGGTGAGTTTCTTACTGCATGTATATTGATAGTGATGAAGGGTTTGGGTTTTGTGGGGTGCTAATGGCTGACGAGACTCTCTGATCACTGCATGTTATTACTTCACTTAGACCTCACTGTTTCTCAGAAGATGGGGACTCGCACTAGTTTTGAATGGCAAATTTAACACATTTCTAGTCCTCTGCCTTTGCATGTCATTCGTTGTCACTTTTGGCATAAAAATGCTCCTGTTCTCATGTATTGGCACTATGAGGTCTTTATGGAAGAATATAAGTTGCTGCCTTCATAAGACCACAGTGCTATGTATATTCCTTACAAAATGCCACTACAATAATTGTTGCTGTAATTAAAATGTGATGATTGGTATTAGCCACCATTAAACTTAATGTCAAAAAAGTTGTTCTAAGTTTCTACACTCAGAAAAGTACAAAGCTGTCTGGGGTAATACCACACGCTAAAAGGTACATCTTTGTGCTGTATTTGGCCGAGATATAAATATTTGAAAACCTGGAATCTGAGGGTGCTAAAAAATCTAAATACTGAGAAAATCGCCTTTGAAGTTGTCCAAATGAAGTTCTTAGCAATGCATATTACTTATCAAAAATTAAGTTTTGATATATTTACGGTAAGAAATTTACAAAATATCTTCATGGAACATGATCTTTACTTAATATCCTAATTATTTTTGGCATAAAAGAAAAATCGATAATTTTGACCCATACGTTTCTTTGGCTATTGCTTAAAATATACCCCAGCGACTTAAGACTGGTTTTGTGCTCCAGGGTCACATATTAGTACTTTAAAAGTACATATTAGTACCTTTTGAAAGGACATTGCCCCAGTGACAGCTTTGTACCTTTTTTTCTGAGTGAAACACAGTTTCAGTGTCAGTGACAAATAAGAGTGTCCACAATAAAGAAAAGGAACATCTTTGTCATGGTCACACCACATCACTTTTTGAGGACGTTTTTCAAATATTTTGTTTTGTAATAAATAATATATAATAATTAAATAAATTTAAAAAATAACATGTACATAATTATTCAAGCCTATGCCAAGTTATTTAATAAGGTTTTCGTTCTTTTAAAGGGATAGTTCACCCAAAAATGAAAATTCTGTCATTAATTACTCACCCTCATGTCGTTCCAAACCCGTAAGACCTTCATTCATCTTCAGGACACATATTAAGGAATTTTTGATGAAATCCGAGAGCTTTCTGACCCTTCATTGTCAGCAGTGGAACTGAAATGTTCAAGGCCCAAAAAGGTAGTAAGAACATTGTTAAAATAGTCCATGTGACATCAGTGGTTCAACCATAATTTTAAAATGAAAATTCTGTCATTAATTACTCACCCTCATGTCGTTCCAAACCCGTAAGACCTTCATTCATCTTCAGGACACATATTAAGGTATTTTTGATGAAATCCGAGAGCTTTCTGACCCTCCATAGACAGCAATGCAACTGACATGTTCAAGACCCAGGTTAAAATAGTCGATGTGACATCAGTGGTTCAAGAGAAGAAATTGTTGAATTAAGTTGTTATTTTTGTTTTCTTTGCGCACAAAAAGTATTGTCGTAGCTTCATAATATTACGGTTGAACCACTGATGTCACATGGACTATTTTAATAATGTCCTTACTAGGGCTGTCAAAATGGCTGAAAAACGAAATTAGAATTTTTTACTTAAATATTATCAATATTCGAATTCTATTCGAATTTAAAAGGCATAATTTCAGTTCGGGGGAGAAAAAGCTTTTGGCTTCTCTCCTGAGGCCACAAGAGAGCGCATCGAGCAAAATATTATGCACGTTTCTTCAAAGCATAATAAAATAACACGACTATCTTTGAAAAAAGTGCATAATGTTTAAAATAATGTTTATAAACCATATATAATTATTAAAGTTGCTTAAACAATTAGAAACAAAACTGCATCATGCATGTATGTATAGTTTAATACAAAGGACCGAAAACCAATCACAAAGAGTACTTTCTTCATTTAAAAACTTGAGATGCAGTAGGATGGGGAAAACCGCCATAAAGTCTTGAGACATGTTTTTTAAAAGTTGAACTTACATTAATTTTACATAGCTTTCTAAACATGCGGCTCTCTTGTGCGAGACGCGAGTGCAACGCTGATGTCCCTCTAGAAAATGCGATAAATATGCGTTCTGTGTGAACGGCTTGGTTTCGGTTTTGACGTCAACAACATCTTCCCCGCATTGATTGTTCTCTTTTTCTGCAGTATTTTGAATGAACAAAGTAGCAGCGCCGCATCTAGTGGGTTCAACTGGATAGGCTAACAAAAGCATTAAAATGCAATGGCACTTACATCGTCGTCGCATTTCGTGCGCCGCTGATAAGGCTGCCTGACGCACACCTAAAATTAGAATCCAACGGTTTTGCATTCAAATGTGGATTTTTATTTTAAATTCGACGAATATTCGAAATTCGAATTTTTTTTTGACAGCCCTAGTCCTTACTGCCTTTCTGGGTCTTGATCGTGTTAGTTGCATTGCTGTCTATGGAGGGTCAGAAAGCTCTCGGATTTCATCAAACATATCTTAATTTGTGTTCTGAAGATGAACGGAGGTCTTATGGATTTGGAACGACAAGAGGGTGAGTAATTAATGACAGATTTTTCATTTTTGTGTGAACTATCCCTTTAAGAGTTTAATTCTTTTAACAAGGCTTTTGTATCACAGGACAGCTGTATCATCTTGCCAAAAAAAAAAAAAACACACTGAATTTACACACGATCATCCTCAGTCAAGTGGTGTGTTCAAGTTATTGTGTGTATCATTTTATATTTATTTATGAATAAATGAATAGATCTGGGCACAAAAGGAGCACCAACTCATTGACCCTTAAATAAGATCCCTTATTATTCTATTAGTGGCAGTTTAAGGCAGCTAACTCAGTTTTTAACTTGAACACAAAAACATGTTTTTGAATAAACTTAATATAAAGAATTATGAAATCTTCAAGAGTGATATTAGGAAATCATTATAGACGGATTGTATCTCTGGTACCAGACATGCATGTGTTGAAATCAGACAAGGTTACATAACGGACGTGGTTTAGAGGTGCAATTCATAGCGATCAGCCCATGGGTCAAAGTTTACACCTCTTTTCCCCCCCTCTTTGTTTGTTTGTTTTTCCACTCCATCTACCTTAGTTCATTGACTCAAAGTTACTTTCTCTTGCCTTAAATGAAACGCGCTTCAGTTCTCCTGAAGACGGAGGTGTATTTGTTTGTGGTGGGTGCTTTGTTCTTCTTCACATCTGTAAGGTGTTTTCTGTTGTTGATTTAGCCAAATGTAATAGGTCCTAACGCTGAGTTGGAGCCCATAGACAGCTGGCTCATTACCCAAGGAATGGTGAGGATTTCACCAGAACCACTGTCCCCTCCGTGTCCACCCACGTCCGTTCACGCAGCCCTGACCTCGATCTCCATCCCTTACCTCCCACCACCACTAAAACACACCCACAGTAAAAGGGAGAGGCGCTCTCTCACAGCCTGCTGCGGTGATCCTGATTTGATATGCGGAGGAGCCGCTCGCATGTGTTAAGAGATCAGCCAAACATGAAAAATCTGGCTTTATTTACTCGCCCTCATGTCGTTCCAAAGTTCTGTGCTGTTATTTTCCCAAGAAAACAGCTCTTACATGAGAGTTTATAATGACCACAGCTGTCAAACTCCTATAAAGGTATATAGTGCAACAGTCGGGTTAAATAAGTACAAACTACATTCATTTTCTCTATAGGAAAATAGATTTTTTTTAAACTGATGAACCTTTAAATGAAAACTTCACCCAAAAATGAAAATGCATTCACCCTCAGGCCATCCAAGATGTAGATGAGTTTGTTTTTTCATCAGAACAGATTTGGAGAAATTTAGCATTACATCATTTGCTCACCAATGGAGTGAATGGGTGCCGTCAGAATGAGAGTCCAAACAGCTGATAAAAACATCACAATAATCCACAAGTAATCCACATGACTCCAGTCCAACAATTAACATCTTATGAATGGAAAAACTGTGTTTGTAAGAGACAAATCCATTATTAAGACAACTTCAAACTATTGTTTTTGGCTATTGATGAGTCGTCTGTCCATAATATTGCTTTCTCCAGTGAAAAAGTTGTCTTATCTGAATCAGGAGAGAAATATGCAAAGATGAAGTGCCATTTAAAAGCAAAAACTGTTCTAAACAAATATGAATTTTGCTATGAGAGGACAACAGGGGACTTTTTCACTGGAGAAATTGTTTGGATTATGGACTTGTATTTTGCTCAGAAGTGATGGTTTAAAGTTAAAATGCCTTAATGATGGATTTGTTTTGTTTTTTCAAACATTCAGCTTTTCTGTTCACAAGACGTTAATTGATGGACTGGAGTCATGTGGATTACTTGTGAATTACTGTGATGTTTTTATCAGCTGTTTGGACTCTCATTCTGACGGCACCCATTCACTGCAGAGCATCCATTGGCGAGCAAGTCATGTTTTTATTTTTCATTGTATGGAAAAAGCAGCCTCTTTTTTTTATTTTATTCTCAACATCTCTGATCTAATAACTCCTGAGAGGCTCTAGGCCCATTTCTGGGCTCTTTTCTTTGCTCTGTCCCTTTTACTGTGAATTTCTTCATCACCTAATTTTCATTGATCATCACAGGTAGGAAACCCTTACTTTTTTCAGGGTAAAAGCAGTAGATTTCATCTTATCTATTTCATTTCATACACTAGCTAGACCCTGGACTTTAACATGAATTAACACAGTTATAACCGGCCCTCGGCTCATGGAAGGTTCTGAATCCTGTGTTCTGTACAGCTCCAAACTCAGGGTTTCAAAAGACGTTCACACTGATAGAGATGCGCAGTAAGAAAGTTCCCTGAAGTCATTCATTTTCATTGAGAGCTGCTGATTCCAGGTAACATGAGCAACAGTGACTGTTGACGATGCAGTGTGGATGTGTCTAGTGGTGCAACAAAGTTTAACTTTATGCAAATGAGCTGCAACACCAATAAGAAATTTAAGATCTTTCTCCCACAGGAGAATGCTAGTTTTAGTGTTCAGTCCATCAATAACATTACGGCACCCAACAGTATGATGAACACCAAAAATGCACTACCGTTCAAAAGTTTAGGGTTTGTAGGAATTTTTAATGCTTTCTTTTGCTCACACAGGCTGCCTTTATTTTATCAAAAATATAGTAAAAATAGAAATATTTTTACAATTTAAAATAGCAGTTTTGTATTTGAATGTATATATTAAAATGTAATTTATTTCTGTGATCAAAGCTGCATTTTCAGCATCATTACTCCAGTCTTCAGTATCACATGATCCTTCAGAAATAATTCTAATATACTGATTTGCTGCTCAAGAAACATTTATTATTATTATCAATGTTGAAAATAGTTGTATGGCTTAATATTTTTTATGGAAACAGATAGATTTTTTTCAGGATTCTTTGATGAATAGAAAGTTTAAAAGAACAGCCTTTATTTGAAATAGAAATATTGTGTAACATTAGACATATCTTTAGTGTCGCTCTGATCAATTCAATGCATCTTTGCTGAATAAATGTATATAATCAATCAATCAATCGATCTTACTGACCCCAAACTTCTGAAGGGTAGTGTAAATAAAATAGCTGTCAGTGTGAATACATTTTATGCTGTCCAGTAGTTTGGTTCTTCATATCTTAAACTGGACAGCTGTGTGGTCAGAGCCTTTCCATTTACATGATCTCCATCATCACTACTATTGACAATAACAGAGAAAAACTCCCCTCCTCACCTCATTAATTCACAACATTCTAATCTGAATGAAAGTCCTCTTCTCACATTTGTAGTTTAGCAGATTTAACTTAACCAAAATAACCAAAAATATAACCTGGGACGAAATAAATATGAATGAATGCATATTTTTATTTATTTATTATATTATATTTTGAACAGTGTTGGGGAAGTTACTTGACGCAAACTACAGGGATTCAGAATTTCCGGAAGTTGTTATATGATATAAAACTGAGCGCTGTTTGTTTTTAAATAGCCAATACTTATTTAGTCATAAGTTCTCGGACCTAAATAGAATTGCATAGAATTTTAGACAAACTCCAAATTCAGACAAATTTACGAAATTTTCAAAAACAGAAGAATGTGAGCATTTGCTGACAAAGCTGATCCAAAAATGTCCAACAAGTTGATTTATTTGGCCTGGCTTTTGAAAAAGTAGTTAGAATACATGATGTATAAATCTCAATTTCAAAAAATTGACACTGAAGACTGGTTTTGTGGTTCAGGGTCATATTATATTATATTATATTATATTATATTATATTATATTATATTATACTATACTATACTATACTATACTATACTATACTAAACTCCACGTTTGGCTGCTGTATTATTTCTCTCCTCATTCCAAACATTAAAATAAATAAATACATACTTACATACTAAGACATTACATTAAGAAAATGAAATTTTCTTTTTGTAAAGAAATGCATACATTGCCACAATTTAAATATGTCCACAAAACAAATTTCATACAGCTGAATAAATAATTATTTTTGTCCAAACTATGGACTTGGTAGTGTTTCAGAACTTTTATTTTGAATCTTGATTTTAACAAATAGAAGAAATGTCACTGCAAACTTCTTGTGGCAGTTATGTTTGATTAAAAAAATAAAAAATTATAACACCGTAATGTACAAAAAAAAAGTACAAACAATTCTGTCCTGTCCTGTCCAGCAGACATACATGGAGAAATGTTCACTGTAGGGGGAGCTCTTGTGCCGCTGTTCTCATGTTGCTGTCAAACTATGATTATCAAGCTCTGATTATGGAGCTTCTCTCACAGAATAACCTATATTCTTAATGATAAACCCCTCTCTATTCATTCAGAAGCTTCACACTGCATCTCTCCTTCAGTGTCTTTTTTTCATTTTTCACTGTCACAGCATGTGAAACAGTGTTGCTCCAGCTCTATGTGCAAGTCGTGTGTGTGTGTGCGAGTGTGTGGCGTGCGTGTTTTGGCTCGGTTTGACGTTGATTGCATTTTTCTGTTGCTATTTTCCTCTCAGACTTTCTGGTGATTTTATTGTTTGTGTTTTTGTTTGTCGGGGGTGTTTTTTGTTCTTTCGTGGCTTTGGGGGTCTTTGGTTTGTCCATGGCTTTGCTCCATAGATCCCCGTATCGCAGTCCTCTGTCATGGATGACATTGAGGAGTGGCTCTGTGCTGATGTGGTGAGACTTCTTTACCTTGATTTCATTCTCTCTGTTTTTGTTTCCATGGTAACATCACCTCGTCTTACTCACTTTCATTTTATGCAGTATTATCGCCATACATATACATATATATGTGTGTGTATGTGTTACGATATAACTAACGAGGTCATATTCAGAAGACAATGAAACCCGCTCGCGCTGCGCCGCCGCGGTCTGCGAATTGAAGAGCGTGCTGAAAGACGGAGACGAAGTCTGCCGCGGTTTTCATATGAAATTTAAAGGGGATTGACTCTGAGGCGATCACGAATTTGTGTACAGTTTATGTAGCTAATCGCTATAGCCCCGCTAAAAATGGCCTAGCGACGCCCATGCTTCTTACGTCCATTTCGGAGAACGAGGACAAATATTTCAATCGATCGCTCAGGCATTTAAGTGGCACCGAAATGATGCACCGAAATCTGCGTTCTGATTCGGTTCTAGTACATACCGGTTACATAGGTACCACCGGGTTTCGGTACACAACCCTACATAATATATCTGTGTGTACTGTGTATATATTTATGTATATATAAATGCACACACATGCATGTATATATTTAAGAAAAATGTTACGTTTATATATTAAATATATTTATATATGATATAAATTATATGAATATAAATGTATACATGTAAATATTTTCAAAATATATGCTGTATGTGTGTCTTTATATATACATAGTAAATATACATACTACACACATATATTATGTAAACAAAAACTTTTATTTTCGATGCGATTAATCGTTTGACAGCACTAATTAAAATACTATTTCAAATTTGCATTAACTATATTAAGCCTACTGTATCATATTTGATAGGCAAATTTCTAAGAACTCTAAGTTCACATTCATCTAAAGGTTTAACAAACAGATCCATTTGGAACGAATAGATTTTTTTGGACTATTATTTCATGGCAAGCTTTAAACTCATGAATGCAGTTGACAGTTGTTCTCCTGATGTCTCTTTAGAGTTCGACAAGTTCTTGGAGGAGCGGGCCAAATCCGCAGACCAGGCTTCACCGCTGGCCCCCTCCGGAGAGCCCAGACCTCCAGTGAGCTCGTCTAGCAGCAACCGCAGGAGGACACAGCAGACGGAGGACAATCTCTTTGCCTTGTAGAACAGTGACGGGACAGATGCTCTCGCTGGTGACCGCAACCACATTCCCTCCCTTTACAAACCTACTGATGTTATACGACAGCAAGACCCCTGTCTAATAACCCCCACCGCCTGATAGAGCACTGTGAGAATCCAGCTTCATAACCGCAGACTTTGAGCTGAACGGCGCAGTCAAGCGATGGCTTAAGCAAATATGTAGCCAAAATGATTCTCTTTAGAGAGCTCGCTTCTTTCATTCCTGTCAAATAATAGTCGAATAGAGCTGATTGGTTTTGTATTTATCGTTCATTAATGAACTAACGCTCTTAAAGTTTGTCATTCTATGAGGTGAGGTATTCATGTTGGTCAGTTCTTCTGAGTCAGCTATGGATTGTGATTCAATCTGTCTCTGTGGTAAATAGAGCAAGAAAATATTAGATCTTAATCGGGCGTAGGAGCGCAGAGACAGTGGGTCGTCGCTCGTGATTGGCCTGTCATGTTTATGAGGCTCTGGTGAAGAAAAGTGGCTATATTCTTGTAATCATCATGTGTGGATTACCAAAGACAGAAGAATGAACGCCTTTTCCATCGATAAAGGTTTTTGTACAAATATCTTGACTTTTTCAAAAGAGTTGAGGTTTGCTGAGCCATTGCAGTTTTACGGTTTTAAAAGCACCGTTTGAGGGCATTTTAAAGCATAGATCAGATGTCTGCATATGCAATTTAGTGATCCAAAAATATGAAACATTTGCTTTGAAAGAATGCATCCTAATTTTGGTTATGATGTAGGATTTACTGGAACAGGCTCATTTAAAAACAAATGTCATATGTCATCCCAATATCAAAAGAAATATTTTGATTTCTACAAAACCGTCTTCAGCATTGATAATAATAATAATACAAAATATTTTCATCCGTTTTCAACATTGATAATAATAATAATAATAAATACTTTCAGCTGTTTTCAAAACTGTTTTCAACATTGATAATAATAATAGTAATAATAATAATTATAAATATTTTCAGCTGTTTTCAACATTGATAATAATAATAATAATAATAATAAATATTTTCAGCTCTTTTCAACATTGATAATAATAAAAAATATTTTCAGCTGTTTTCAAAACTGTTTTCAACATTGATAATAATAATAATAATAATAATAAATATTTTCAGC